TATATATATATATATAATTCTAATTTTGCATTTGTTTCCTGGTTCTTCATTCATGCTGAAGTAAAGAGAAATTCCTCCAGCTGGTCATAAAATAAATGCGGTCGGCCTCTCCACCAATTAGCTTATGAAATGTACGGTGGAGGAAGAAAAATTACGTAGTTTTTTACTCTGATACATAATCACAAACTACAGGATATACCATATGCTGACGGGACACAACATCAGTAATAGTAATATCTACAAGGTTCAGCCAAGTATAGTAAAGGTAATTTTACTGTTGTCCATTATATTTACCTCTCACAATGTTATCCTAACATAATAACAATATTAATAAAAATATAATAATTTGCAAATTTGTCTTTATGTGACGGAAAGGGGCTTCTACTGTGTTAGCAAAAACCTATAATGAAAAGCTCTCAGACTGTTTATAGATTTATCTCTTGAACAAATACATATTTTTTTACACATCACAACATCGGCAATTTTCTCAGCTTAATTTAAGCCATATTTTATAGAAATTGGATAAGAAATGAGGGTGCTATGAATATGTTTGTGACAGATTGACATGCATCCTGCATTGAAACTCTACTGTTTTGTTGACATGACTCAATGCAGAGCAATGGCTCCTGTGACGGCGCGTCGCTAGCTATGGCGGCTATAGGCAGTGTCCATTCTAGTAATATAGATTAATGGTCTGAACTATAACAGGAAGGAAATGTTGCAAAACAAATCAAGATGCTTCTACACTTATTTCAACAAAAGCTCAGAACAGCACACCTGTGTGAGACGTTTGTGTTTGCGGGATATCCTCTGGTTTTTGGGTTTGACAGACAGTTTGTGCTTGGCTGCAGTGTTGTCCAAGCGAGGACCGGACTGCGGAATGGCATCTAGGTTGATGGACTCGATCGTACCAGATGGTGGAGAAACTCGTCTGGACCTCGGGGATTTTACCGGGCTGCAGTGTGGCTCCGATGACTGAGTTCCTTGGACCTGCTGTTTATCCATAGCAACAAAGAATTTATTAGTTTATTAGTTATAGTTGATTTAAGCAGATCTGCAGTCAGAAACTGCTTTTAATTGTAGAAATGAATCATTCAGATCTGGTCCAAAGGACTGCTGCGTTTGAGTTTACCCTCCATTTTCCTACGGTAGCCCTGATAGGACATATTAAACAGGATCTTTGAAAGAATTTTTATGGTCCTGGTTAATCTGGTTCTGACCTATGGCATAGATCAGGGGTTCTTAACCTTTTTGACCTCTGGGCCCAATTTGTTGAACATAAAGTGACACGAGGCCCAGTCAGACATTACCAATGTACGGATCAAAATGATAATTATTCTAAATCTTGGTTTAATTTTTATTGTATTTACATCATAACTAAATTAAATACACTTACAGTTTAAA